TAAAGAGCAGACAAATGAACACTAATGAATGTGTACAGAACAAGTCGGGTACTCGTAAATTACATTGAATTTATTTTGTTTTAGCATGTCTGACAGTTTTCACACTTGACATGAGTTTCACGTTTCTTGTGGAAGTTATACACGGGTCGCTGCTAATGACGGGTGTAAACATTCGGAGATTTTTTTTTTAATAATTAACAATAAATTTACATTCGCACACAAGTGATACAAATTAAGACATTTTTTGTGTTATTGATTTTAGTAGTCTATGTGTTTACACGTTCCGTCATTCCCCCAGTGAATTTAGAATATAACCAAGTAAACACGAGATATTCACGAACTGGCTTGACAGTTCGTGTCGACGAAGACCAAAATGGATTGTTTGCGTTTTGGACATATTGCTGCAAGTTTGTTAGTAATAAACCAATTTTATAGTCCAGACTGCGTGTCTCCAACATTCTGGTGAGCTCCAGCATTATTTTGGTTTGTCCAACAGCTGCTCACCCCGTTTATAAATATTAAAACTGAAGTTGGCTCCAGGATGGAGTCCTGAGGAACTCTAATTCAGACATTCGTGTACACGCACGTACGTATTGCTGACGGTTGCTTAATAGGAGTTAATCAGCTTTAGTACTGTTATCTCTAAATCCGTATATATGGAGCTTCTCGACCAGTCTTTCACGCGACACGCAATCGAAAGGGTTTATTAAGTCAAAGAAGGATAGTTGCACATTTTTTCCAAAGTTTTTGTACACTGGTACGCAGATGGTCAGTGGCCATTGTGGCAGATGATGATTTTTTTGATACAAATTATCCTAGTTTGGAGTGTTTTCACAACTCAAATATTTATACCGTGCGGTCCAGATGAATTTTAATCAAAGAGAGTTTTTGCTGTTGAGTATTACTGGTTGCCTCCATCATGTTCTAAACAAAGTCGAACTCAAATCGGCAATCGTTATTTATCAAAATTCCACTAATTATCGATTTTAGTATCAATTAGATCATCGTTTATTACTTATTTCCGTAAGAGGAAGAGAGACAGATTGTTTATAAAATGTAGATGTCTCAAAAACAAAAATCTAGTATTGTATACGAAATTCGTCTTTATGTATATGTTACATAGTGGCTTTTTTCAAAATTTTTTTGACATAAATTGGAATTTCAACACTGATCATGACTAATAATTAATGCCCTGCGGCTAATTAAAATGGTGAAAGTGAAATTGTAATTAGGAATGACCTTCACCACTACCAATAAACTTATGAAACAAAAATATTTAGAACTAAATGTAAAATTTAATAGGGCTTTGTGTATATGTATATATTAAAAAAAATTCTCAAAAAGTATAAAATTTGATTTTGCAAGAAGGTCTCACATTCTTAAAAAAGACATTCGGCGCTTCCGAGAAGGTTTTACATTAAAAAAAGACATTTGGCGCCCCCGACAAGGTCTTACACATTAAAAAAAAAGAGACATTTGGGGCTCCCGAGAAGGTTTTACATAAAAAAAAAATAAATTTGACGCCCCCGAGAAGGTTTTACATTTTTAAAAAGACAATTGGGACCCCGAGAAGGTTTCACATTCTTAAAAAAAGACATTTGGCGCCCCGAGAAGGTTTTGCATTTTAAAAAAAGACAATTGGGACCCCGAGAAGGTTTCACATTCTTAAAAAAAGACATTTGGCGTCCCGAGAAGGTTTTGCATTTTAAAAAAAGACAATTGCGACCCCGAGAAGGTTTCACATTCTTAAAAAAAGACATTTGGTGGCACTCTCAAGAAGGTTTTACATTTAAAAGAAAGATAGTTGGGACCCCCGAGAATGTTTCACATTAAAAAAATACATTTGGAGCTTCCTAGAAGGTTTTAGATTAAAAAAAAAGACAGTGAGGACCCCCGAGAAGCTTTCACATTCTTAAAAAGATATTTGGCGCCCCCGAGAAGGTTTTACATTAAAAAAAAAGACAATTGGGATCCCGAGAAAGTTTCACATTCTTAAAAAAAGACATTTGGCGCCTTCCAGAAAGTTTTTACATTTTTAAATAAAGACGGGCGTATTCTCACCTTTTCGGGAAAATGGGGCAATTTCATCAATAAAAAATTTGTTTCGGGTAGTTTTGAACATTGCAGAATCGATATTTTCAGCAGGACAGCGCAACAGCTCATACAGCTCAAAAAAGTTTGATTTTTTTTAAATGAATCGTATGACGATTCATTTAAAAATTAGCTCCCATACAGACCATATCTACCCAACGCAATCACCCGATTTGACATCTTTAGAGTATTTCTTGTTCCCGAGTTTGAAGAACACTGTTTTTAAACAAATTTATCATAATAGATCACATTTTTAAGAAGAAGTACGTGCTAAATACATTAAAATTTTATAATTTTTTAAAATTAAAAACTTCGTGAACTTACGGCTACTTTTCGGCCGAGTTTGGGTAATTAGATCACAAACCAAAAAAAATCATCAATTTATTTTGAAAGTACTTCCCTCGCTCTTGAAGTATAATCCAACAAATCTCGCTTCTTTAAAAAATTATAAAAGTAGATTTTGTAATTTTAGTTTTGTGATAACCTCTATAAAATAAAAACCAGCAGCATAAATAACACCCTCGGAGCCCCTGCGCCCGTAAATTCCTAGGGGACGCAGTACAAATATGAACTATGTTAATTCAATTTAAAGCAGATAACCAACGGGAAAAAATCGCCTCTCAGCAGTAATAACAAGCTTACCTTCAAGTGTTTATGTTTATACATCGAAAGAATGTCACGTAGAAATTTGTTTGATTTGAAAGAACTAAAATCATTAATTCACCCACAATCGAACACAATGTTCTGAAAATTGTTATGACATAGATAATACTCAGCGCGAGAAAAAAAAAAAGAAATTCCCAAGTTTAAGTTGCTAATTTTTTTGTGAACATTCGGTCGGTTACATTATTGTATAATATTTAAATTATTTTAAAATAGACTTCTTTGAAATGGCGTCATCAAATTGTTGGTGGAGATGATAGTTCTATTATACACACAAAATTTGACAAAAATCGGTTTCGTAGTTTCGTAGATTTCGTGTCGTGACAGTTAGACGACAGACAGACGGAAATGGGAGACCACTTTTTCGTGCTTTAGGGGCCATGAAATGTCGACAAAACATATCTAGCAAGGACTCAATTACTATACTTTTTTAGCTTATGGCCAGGAAGAAAAAATCACCTGGTATTTTCTTAGAGGTTTAATTATTTTCTTTAAGCTTGAATTTGAAAATCATTTATTAATTATATTATATTATTTGACCGTATTTAATGTATGCTTGCGTGAGTTTATTTCACTTGTAATATGGCAATTCGTTTATAGTACACAATCTAACATTTGTGTACTCACTTTCATTTAACGATTTGCTTGAATGAGTGCATAATTTAACATCACGTAAATTCTTGTGGATGATTTTACCTAAGTTATTATATACTTTTCACTCGATATTTAAAATAGTACATTTATTGCAGTTTGAATGAAATAACTTGAACATTTATTCTTGATTCAAATGTATGTAATGTATACCTGTGGTATTTATTTCTCATGTGCTTCAAAGAATTTGATGTTTACTTTTCGAAATAACTGGAAAACTGACCGCAGAATAGGAAATCACGAATCTTAGCTATCGTTCGGTAAAAACACTCAATCATTCTGCATAATATGAACCTTGGCAGGCCATTTTAAAGAAGATATCTATGCTATGATATGGTATTTTATTATTCCTTTTACTAACAAATATGTTATGAATTTAATGTATTCTGGATTCCATGCTTTTCAGGACAATAAAAAAATTAGTGAAAAAAGTCGGCCTTCATTATCACGTCGAAGAATACTTTTTATTAAATTCTTGACTATGAGTTTAACGTAAATTTAAACTTAAAGTCAATTATTGGTTTTACAAAGGTGCATATTATTACAAAATTCAAGGCTTTGTAACGGGAAAAAATCAAGTCCGCGAATGACTTCATATATGTTAATCTCACGTTCATTAGTTAAAAAATTTATCACAAAAAATGTCAAGCACGTCTGTACACATCTTAGAATTTTTTATCATTATTGTGTTGATACCTTAACAATGATGTTGCCAGGTCGTCAAAGCACCCTCACTAAGTAAACTTTAAAACTCTGATAAATTATACACATACCGACTCTTTGTGGAATTCGGGGTGCTTTTAACGAGCTGGCAATATCACCGCGGAATCTCCCATGTAAAACCCATCGTTTACAGTCTTTATATTCCGCCAGCTAAATCTAACTAGGCAACAAACAATAACATAAACCCGTCTTGTATTGCATTTGCATCAATGTATTCACACCACCTCCGAATAAATCACCTTGTTTTGAAATTTCTCACATTTTTAGCGACCACATCCAGGGTGATAACATCATACACCTCGCATGCAAATAATTGGAATAAGCCAGTGATGGACAGCGTTTCTTGCAACGAATTCCTGTTTGACATTATTTTCCCATTTATTCTTTTATCTCGCATTTTTCATCAATTTCTCGTCGTTCACTCAAGGCTGCGCATAGCCAAGGCCGTCGCAATAACAAATCCCATCAACTCACCTTCGGCTGAAAAATTGACAGTCGCGGACTGGACACGTGATAAATCGCCGTTTTCACTCCTTTTATTTTCTCGTTCAATTAACACGTGATTGATGTCACTATCGTTGCACTTGGCAGTGTTGTAAACCATCACCGACATTTTTACTTTTCAGCCTAGTTACGATTTTTATTTTCACTACAGCCACGACTATGAGTTAAGACCAATAAAAGTCCATAATTGATGGACGAATAAAACCGCTATCTTTAGATTTTTTATGAAATAATAAATCCGGATTATGTTACATCACCGGTTTCGCTTTTCGCTTCTTCGAGAGCTTTTTATTTGGGCGCTTGTGAAAATGTCAGTTGAAGATGTTTCCGATCCGGTGTAGAAAAATAATGGCTTGTATTTGTTACAGTTGGATGATGCGGCACTTCAGTTGTACAAAGATGGGGATTATGGATCTTACCTTGACCTCGAAGCTTCTATCAGTGAACAACAAGAGGAGTTTGAGGGTTTTCAATCAAAGTGAGTATGATGTATAGTCACTTAAATTAACGACGTCGTGTTATTACGTCACGCCCGTCATTTGGTGCTTTCGTTCTTGAAGAGCTTTTTTCTTGTGGTTACGGAAAAAATCTAATTTAAAGTGTCGGATTCGTGATTAGTCATTGGTATTATGTATATTTGAGAGTTGATGATGGGCTGCGATAAATTGCAGTTGAGTGTTGGACGGTATGCTACCGGATATTTACATGTGTATTGTGGGTTGCCGGAGCGTTACAGCTGAATGTTCGCTATATTTACGTGAATTTAATCTTCAGCTTTAACACTAAGTCAAGAGTTGTTGATTTTGATTCATTATCTAGTTAAGTCGCTAAGCTAAAATATGACGTTTTAATTAAAGCTACATGATGGAAGTAAATCTTGTTAGTGTCTGCACTCACGGGTTTGTTAATTGTAATTGTAAATATATTTCGAAATAACAATAATTTATTAAGACTGCAAAGGTTTCTCAATTCCTGAGATTTTTATGACAACCAGTGGTAATTTAATGTCTTAAGCAACGGGTAATTGCATTCTAACATGTAGGTTTCTAAATATAAATATGTTCTTAACAAGTGTCAATTATTTAATTATATTGTTAATTGTTAATTAATTAATACAACATCTTTAGGAATGTTGTGTTTCTAAGAGAAAAGCAAATATTGAGAAATTAAATTAACAATCAACATTCCCACCAATAGGTGTTTTACTTGAAATACACGGTGATTAAAATTTGTAATTTTTATTTACAAAATTAATATTAGTTAATTTTAGATTTAAAGTAATAATATTCTATCATTTTGGGTCTTTTCGATTTTAACATTCAACTTTTGAGGTGTTTAAAGGACAGTAGAAATTATTAATAACTATATTCAAATGTAATGGAAGTGACTAAATGAAACCCGTGTGAGTGATTTTAGCCACAGCTGTCACCATAACCAACAAATTCTCATAAGCAGTTCAAAAAAATATTTAAATTTTAGTTAAAGTTATATTTTTAGATGAAGGTGGAAAAATAGGTTATGTAATAACAGATTCGCTTTGGAAAGAAGTAAATTTTCTGCCCATGCATTAACTGCATAGGTTTATACGTAATGTTAATAAATCTACTAAACAAAATGGCATTTGGGAAAAGTTTTCCCAAGAATAACTTAAACAAAATAAATAAAGAAAGTAAGTGTAAATGAAATGTCCTGTATACATTGTAGGTTTTTCCGAATTTTACTAAAATATAGACTGAGTACAAATTGTACGGGTTTTGATGCGCATAACATCAAAATTATTTCCAACTACTTAAGTATATTGTGATAACCCAAACATCCCGCCTTAAATTGACATGTGGAAAAAAAAATTGAAAGCCCGCGAAAAATTCAAAAATTTGGCCTTGGCTGTGATCGTCTAACAAAACGGAACCTACGTTGGTTGTTTTTTTTTTTTTGTGGCGTAATGCGTTCAGATTCTAGTGGTGGACCCCAAGGTTGGAAAAGTACTGCTAAATAAAACACCAAATATATGGAGGACACAAAATTATTTATTCCTTCATTGACAAAAAAAAACTGCGACGGTGATTCTATTCTATCGACAAGCACTACCACCCAGCACAGGCCGTTACGGTCACAAACTCGTGGTTGGAAATCACGGCTATAAATAGTGCGGCCGCCAGCTCGACACGGAACCGCGCACTCTGCTTCTGTGTTATTTAACATCAATTCCATTTAAATGTTCAATTTCTATAACTCTGACATTAAACTACAACTGAACAAATGTTAAAGTTTCAAAAAGAGCAATAAACCACATTTAAATTCGGCATACACTCTTGTGAAATTTGAAACGGCAAAGAATTCTTATCTGAGATTAAGATTGGACAGCAGACAATTTTATGATGGAAGCATTAACCAACAAAATATTTACAAAAAAAAAACTGGCAAAGATTTATAAAAACAAAAATTGGTCTAAAGAGTTTAGACAGTACTTCCCTCGCTGTCGGAAACTCATAGATTTCAAAGCATTCGTTTTGTAGTTCCTGAGTAAATCAATAAAATAAATTTATCCATTCATTATTTTTTTTGAGTCACCCGGTATATGCAAATTCAAAAAATATGAATGGGACGATAAATTACAAGTACAAACTCATCATATTTTGTACATTCTAGATAGCGTTTATTCGGCAAACTTTTGAGTTGACGTTATCAGTTTTTTGGAGAAGATAGCCAAATATATTTTGATCAAAAATTTATTATCCTCTTTATAACCTTAAAACATCTGCAAAATTTCAAAGCATTCGATTTTTTAGTTCCTGAGTAAATCAGTAAAATAAATTTACGCATTCATTAATTTATTTGAGTCACCCTGTATATGCAGATGCAAAAAATATGAACGGAGTGATAGATCACAAGTACAGATTCATCATATTTTGTACATTTTAGATCGGATTTATTCGGCAAACTTTTGAGCTGACGTCATCAAGTTTTTGGAGGGAATAACCAAATATATTTTGACTAAACATTTATGATGCTCTTTATAGCCTTAAAACATCTGCAACATTTCAAAGCATTCGGGTTAGCAGATTCAAAATTAAATTGCAAAATATTGTTTTTTAATTTTGATTTTTTTCCAAAAATCTGGACGCTTCGGGTAAAAACTCAATTCGGAGTCGTAAACTACATGTGTAGGACTATGTTATTTTATACAATTTAAAACCCATTTACTATGTACAATTTTCTAGTTACGTCATCGCATTAGTGGTGGGGATGATTACACAAATTTTGGTTAGCGTTTTACCATCTACATGATATTCCTAATATAGGTACAAAATTTCACAACAATCGGCCCAGTACTTTCGGAGATTATCTGTCTAATAAAAATCCGGGACGGCAGACAGACGGACAGACAGACGGAAATGGGAGACCTATTTCTTCATCTTCTAGGGGTCATGAAAGATCCAGAAAATGTAAAAGTAGAGAGTCGGCCGACGGACTCGATTACAATACTTCCTCTGCTTACGCTCGGGGATTAAAAAGATCTAAAAACTTGTGCAGGCAAAAAAAAATACGTGAGGTTAGAAACTTCAGAGCATGAAAATTTACGTGTAATATAAATTATACAATAAAGAAAATTACTGAGGCCAAAATTGTGAGATAGAGAAAAATTGCAAGGCTAACAAAATCACATGAGGTTAATATTTTATGTCCATTCGAGTTATTGCTTAAATTTTAAAAGTAAAGTGATTCAGCTGCATTGTAGGACATTATGTCTCCCAGAAATGTGATCAATCACAATGTTGTTAATTTGTTCAACGAGATTTTACAGTTCAAACATGTGCTCGGTTTGAAAATACTGTTTCAACGTGGCCGCTACCAGAATAAAGAATTTACAAAATGTTAAATTATGCCACACTTTATCAACGGTTCAAACAAAGAATTTACGTTACGTTAAATTATGCCACACTTTATCAACGATTGAAACAAACAATTTACATTATGTTCAATTGTGCCACACTTTATCAACGATACAAACAAAGAGTTTACATTATGTTAAATGATGTCTTGATCCAAGTCACTGGCCATTTAAAACCATTAGCTTTGAGAGTTTATATCGTGGACTGTCCTCAGCTTTCAGAGTCCTTTTCCAGAGTGGGGCAACGTTAGATTGATTTTATTGCCGTAAATGAACTATTAGCGATCTTGTGTGAAGAATTAAGAAGTGTTATAATGTAGTACTTAACTATAAGCATCCAGAAACGTTATTCATAATTAGATAAACAAAGAAAGAGTCCTGACTAAGTGAATTTCATGAAATCTCCTGGCAAATGCGCTATCTAAGTAATCTCAGGACCGTTAAATTGTGTTAGGTGAGGATTAAAATCCTAACATGAACTGTGAATTTACAAACAATAAAACAAATTTACAACAAGTGTTACCATCGACCGAAAATTCGCAATTTCCGCGTCGAAAGCCGCAAGAATTAGCTATGTGTGTTTGGGAAACTGTGGCGTCGTCGTCGTTACGATTAATTGTCGTTAAACAAGGCTTCTTCTTTTTTATTAACAACCAAACCAAGTAAACTTAACCTAGCTAACTCACCACGTGGTTTTCACTCACAACAACAAACCAAAAGTGACGATCTCCCAACCTCTACAAAGCAAGCACTCTTCTCACTACCAACCCTCTAACTAAAATTCCAAGCAGAACTACCAACTACCAGAAAAATAACTAAACGTGCACATGGTTGCTTATGTTTAACGATTTTCTTGATTGAATTATTAGTTATTCTAATTTTTCTACTTTTTTAACAGATCAAATTTTTTGGTGCTGGTTTATTACATCCAGTGTTTATAAAAATATTTTTTATATACATAAATGCTCCGATTTTAAGGCTAAATAAATATTTGTAAGTGTGTTATAATAACTTAAACAAAACATTTGCAACTTTTATATATATTGTTAATTTAAATAATGTGTGACAGGTGAACAAATTTTTAAAACCCACAAAAAATTCAAAATTTAGTCTTAATTATTATTAGAATAATTAAGAATTAAGCCCACGAGGGTATGAATTTACGTTCAAATTTTCAGAATGGACCAACGTTTTGATCAGTTTGAATGCCATAGATGAACTATTATCGAGTCAGAAGTTAAGAAGGTTATTATAGGGTAATACTTAATAAGTGAATTCCCTAACACATGGTTTATGTGAACAATTTCATGACTTAAATTTTATTAGAATCAGGGACCATTGAAAATCTTAACTTGAACTGTGAATGTACAAACTATAAACAGAAAATTGACACCACGTGTTAACATCGGGGAAACTTCACATTTCAGATTAAAAAAAAAAATAAAAATTAATTACGCTTGAAATTTTAATTCAGAATGGGACACCACAATAAGTTGAACCTGAATGAGTGAATTTCTCGCCACGTGTTTTACGGAAACATTTTGCATTATTGTAGTTAAATTGTAAGAACCATGAATAAATGTTAATTTGACCTGTGAATTTACAAACAATAAAACCAAAAGAACACGTCCTGAAGGAATAGTATTTTCAGTATCCTGATATTACGCTAATTACTCTCATTGAATGGGGACCATGGCGTCGAATACGATTCATTTTTGTTTAAACAGTTGCATTTTTATTCCTGATGGCCTACATTATTGATTTTTTTTTTATATTCAAGTTAAAAATAATCAAAACCATAGCAGGTTTCTAGATTTTATTACATGTAAACTACAATTTCGTTGAATGTGTCCTGTTAATAGTGTGTGTTTGTTGAGAATTCATGTTTTTATGGACCGAATAAGATCGTAAAATTTTATAACTCCATTCGGATTCGGTACGTTTAGTATCCCATTATTAGAAATTATGATTTTGAAAATTTTCTTCCTCTTTGTGATTGTTGATAAACACATGCTAAACGTGTTTTTCGATTATTATTTATATCGTGCGATTTTTAGTTAATTTAGTTGGGCGGAGTGGACCATGGGAAAAACAGTTTGCCCATCTAGTGCCAATTTGAGGACGTTTTATGATTATCACCCCTTAGATAAATAATTGAAACAAAAAAAAAAAAAACGCGTAGAAATTGTTAGCCGTTTTAAGTAGCGCGGAAAATTCAAAATACATCGACGTTCCATGATCCCTTGAGTATGAAAAAGTAGGTCTTCCATTTTTTCAACAAATATTGAATTTTATAGCTAATATTAATTTTTTTGTAACTAAGTAAAAATGCACAAAAATATTCACATAAATGTCAATATTTTTGTTTACATTATTCCATAGCAGCAGGAGTTTGTCCGACTGCAGCCATAAAATGTATGTAATGCCGTACTGAAATCGTAAAAATGATTGTTAGGCAAAGTTGATTTCACACGGAGGATTCATATGACGTTTAACTGCTTATTAGAAAGGTTACTCGAGAAGATGAAACATCGTAAAATTAGCATAATTGGTACGTCAAAGCATTTTTTAAATAAACCAGTCATTAGAAATATGATAAGTAAGATGATCATTACGTTTCGTTTTATCTGATCATATTCTGAATTTATGAAATGCGCAAACGTTTCTTCGTTTTAAAATAACCCGACTGGTTTAAATTTTTCTCAAATAAAAGTGACTGTCTCGTTGATTAGTGGCGCCATTTTGGGGCAAATGTCACTTATAGCAATCATTTATTCAACAGCTTTAAATAATTACATCATCTTCTTGTCATAAATTATTTGCCACATTATTTTTAGGTCTTTACGTTTCAGTTCGTTCTGTCTTCCATTCAGGTCTATTGTTCTTTCGGGGTCAAGCCTGCTCCTTGCATAATCGCCAAAAAATGCCAGCTTCCTTCACCATGATTGAAATTCCTTAAAATCATCTCAGATGACTAATTTTTAATGTTCACTGATTTATAAAACCATAAACCAATTACACGATTCCACGGCTCAGTGGTGATTCGTTGAAGGTCGCACCAATCAGTTTTTCTGTTTTCCGGTCGCCGGTTGAAAAGTCGGGCAAATAACGAACACTTCTGCAATACCTACCCTTTGGCTACACTCTAAATTTTCGCAGTTGACAGTCCGCAACCACTCATAAGTCAAAAACGTCCAAGTTTTCTTGCAAAACCATCGCTTTGTTGCGACATTTTGACAAATCGATATTGTTACGCCGTGAAACAGCCTTAACGAGCAGACCACGTCGTAATTACGAAACCTCGTCTAACAGTGCTTTCTTTTTCGTCTTTTCTTCCTTCTTTTCTCGTAATGACATTTGCGTTCGTCATTTTCGCTAATCATTCCAGCAGCAGCGTTAATAAATCAATTCCGCCGGAGATCCAACTGCGTGCAAGTGTTTGCAATAAATTTGTTAGCACTGATTATTTATTGAAATTAGTGAATCAGGATCAAATGCGATTTGCTACAAGTCGTGCGTAGTTCTTTTGAAGGTTAAACAAGAGACGAAGAGTTCAATCGAGGCTCATTAATTTTTGTCGATTATTATATTGGGCTTTGTTTCAATTATGGTCGTATTTTTTTAACAGATTGATATGATCATTGGTTGTAATTACGAGACGGAAAAAATAGATTGAGCAACCCGAAAGGGGCCTTTTTTTAGACGGGATGGACTGAAAATGTGATCACTTTTGAGTCGCTGAATCATGCGGAAAAATTCTTTTCCATGCTCACTGAACAGCGGCTTGTGGACTTGGTTTCAAAACGATATCTTTGATAATCATGATTAAACACCAGTTATAATTAACAGCGTGTTGGGTTGTTGTGCGTGCAACAGTTACACATTGTGATAATAATGTTTGTCTATTTGGATAACACTCATTAAATGTTAAGTGAGTTAATGACTGGCTCGTAATTGTTTTGGGTCTGCTGTGAACTATGGATTAATAAAACATACACGGTTTTTCCTACGTTTTATTCTATCAAACAAACAACGCCAATTTGAGTGCTGTACATACGGTCGAAAAAAAAAATCATCTAGTAGGCCATGAAATTTAATTTAAAAATGATAATGTTGGCATTGTAGCTATTTGACAATTTATTTGACAGTATTTGATCGAAACTGTCAAACTGAACAATGAACGCGTTGCTATTGCCAACAATTCACGATCGTTTCGATGTAAAGTAGTCATTGTTATTTTTTCTTCATGTTGGACAAACTGAATCGATGGTATAGTTTTTTGTCTGTTAAAGTTTGACATAATCATTTCGGCATTTACTTCGAGTTGGTTTGCCAGTTTTCTGCTTCATTTCTCACATTAATCATCTTATTACAAAAAAATGTAATAAAAAGATATTTCTAACACATTTCCTAACCTTACATTTAATTAAAACAACAATATAACAAGAAAAATTTAGGAAATTTTGATTTCTATTTGCCCACCCCCGGTGTAAATTTTGGGAAATTGCTGGATGTACGGTGTTTCTTGGGACTCCAAGGGGGAAACTTGAGTTAGGTTAAAACGTCATATTTTTTTTAATGCCAAAGAACTTGAACGTAATGGCCCGCAAAAATGGAATTTTGTATATATTAAAAAAAAAAAACGCACCAACTGAAAATTACCCGCTGAATTAATTAATTAATACGCTTGTCATTAAAACGTCAAATCTCGTTGCTATCAACCGCATTGAACAAAAAACCCAGGGCAGTGTAACCAACCTTACATTTTATCAAGTGGACAGATAGAAATAACTGGGACGAAAAACTAAGTTTCCGTCCATCCGTCATCTGCTTGTGCCAAATTTTATATGTGATTTAAGAATAGCGTGAAAACGCTAACGAAAATTTGTCTAATCATCGCTACTAACAATTAAATGATGTAACCTGAATTTTTTTATAGTATACAACTCCCATTTACATTTTGTAAAAAAACATACTCTTCTACTTGTAGTTTATGAATCCGTCTTGATTTTCATCACAATTATTTTACAAAAATTTTCGCCTCGAGTGTCACGCAGCTGATATTTGTTTAAATAACTTCGGACCATGTTGTAACAAAGTAAACCAGTTTAGAATTTAGCAAAACGATGTACCATAAGAATAAGATCGAAAAAAAGGTCCTCCAGTAGGCCATGAAATTTATTTAAAAAAAAATGATGTTGGCAACACCAATGCGTTCGTTTTTCAGTTTGACAGTTACATAACAGTGTAAAATATCTGCAGTGCCAATATCCTTATTATAAAAATAAATTTCATGGCCTACTAGACAACTTTTTTTCGATCATATGGTACACTTCCCAAACTTTGTGCTTTGAGAACAATTCTGACATTTTTTTTCTTCTTTTGACAGTCGTGTTAGAATAAACACAGCTTTTCTAACGAAATATGAGACTGTAAAATAATTCGTTCTTCTGTAATACACTCAAAATAAAATTTATTTTCTTACTTCCTGAACGTGAGATATCGAAGGAAGTATTACCAGACTCAATTTAATGAATGGCTAATTTCATGTTTTTTTGATGTTTCATACCTACTAGAATATGAAAATTTCCGTTTTCGTTTGTGGCGATTTTATTGTAAAAGATAAAACTACTGGACCGATTGTCGTCAAATTTTACATGTGATTAAGAATATCGTGCAAAGGGAAATCGCTACTCAAAATTAGTTTAAACATCCCCATCAATAATGGAATGACGTAAAGTAATATTTTTTCTCAAAGTATGTAACTCCTATTTCTTTGTTACTTGTAATTTATGAATCCACTTTGATTTTTATAACAGTTAGAAAAATGTTTGTGCAATATTTCAGCATATTGGGTTTACGCTCATAACAAACTCGTGGATTTTTTTGGTCTTAGAGAACGCGTTGGCGTTGGTTCAAATCCCATCCTCGTCGCCATGTTTTTTCCAAACACATTGAATTTGGTTGAATGTTTGCGTTCAGCTGTGAGGGAAATTCTGTCTAAATAACTTTGAACTGATTTTGTATTAAAATAAACTATACGTTATGTGAAAAATAGTTTAGAATTTAACAAAACGAGGTACCAAAGGATCGAAAAAAAGATCTGGCAATGAAATTTTTAAAATAATGACAATAACACACCAACGCGTTCCTTGTTCAGTTGTGTCAAATGTCAACATCTTTATTTTAGAAATAAATTTGATCTGACCTGACCTGACCTGACTCGACCGCCCCTGACTTCTATTCTAGGTCTGCGTTTTTTGTGCAGGTGACGCGATAAATCCAGCCAGCTCGACTAAGAACGCGCCCTCCGCTTCTGCCACATGTTTCAGTATTGTTTACCTCAATTATTCCATTTAAATGTACACTTTCTATAACACTGATATTAAACTACAAACTGTAAAATAATTAGTTCTTCTGTGGTATTAAAGCTTTTTTTCCTTACTTCCTGAACGTGAGATATGGCAGTATTGTAACAGGGTCTACTTTGACCTGACCTGACCTGACCCGACCCGACCGCCCCTGACTTCTATTCTAGGTCTGCGTTTTTTGTGCAGATGACGCGATAAATCCCGCCAGCTCAACTAGGAACCGCGCCCTCCGCTTCTGCCACGTGTTTCAGTATTGTTTACCTCAATTCCATTTAAATGTACATTTTCTATAACACCGATATTAAACCACAAACTTTAAAATAATTAGTTCTTCTGTAGTACTAAAGATTTTTTTTTCTTACTTCCTGAACGTGAGATATGGCAGTATTGTAACAGGGTCTACTTTGACCTGACCTGACTTGCCCGACCGCCCGTAACTTCTATTCTAGGTCTGCGTTTTTTGTGCAGATGACGCGATAAATCCCGCCAGCTCGACTAGGAACCGCGCCCTCCCCTTCTGCCACGTGTTTCAGTATTATTTACCTCAATTCCATTTAAATGTTCACTTTCTATAACTCTGGTATTAAACTACAATTGAACAAGTGTTAAAGTTTCAAAAAGAGCAATAAACAACATTTAAATTCGCCATACATTCTCGTGAAATTTTAAACAGCAAAGATTTCTTATCTGAGATTAACACAATTTATATGATGGAAGCATTAATCAAAATATTTACATGAAAAAAAAAACTAGCAAAGATTTATAAAACAAAAAAAAAACAGTTTGGTGTGAAGTAAAACTTTTGTAGATAAAAATATTTCGTGAGGTTAGGAACTACAGAGCGATTATACAGCAAAGAAAATTACTGAGGCTAAAATTGCGAGATAGAGAAAAATTGTATGAGGTGAAAAATTACAAAGCCAACAAAATTACGTGATAAATAAACACAAAATGCATCCTGCGTTGCGAGAAATATGCGTCTCGGTGATATAATTTTCCACGTTGTCTCCATGATGTGATGAGGAGAACCATGATAACTGCCTAAGGGGAAAAATTTTTAATCCCCACCATTGACTGACCAATGTCAGTCCACGATATTATGAATTCTACCGAATTTTCACGGCCTTTTTTCCAACATGGGGCAATGCTAGGTTAATTTAACTGCCGTAAAAGAACTATTAACAATCTTGTATTAAGAAGGGTTATAATGTAACACTTGAGTATAAGTATCCAGAAACCTCATATATAACTTGATAAACAAAGGATGAGTCCTGTCTAAGTGAATTTCATAAAATCTCCTAGCAAGTGCTTTATCTGAACAAATCTCAGGACCGTTAAATTGTGTTAGAACCAGTTAACGGTTAAACTCCTAACATGAACTGTGAATTTACAAACAATAAAACAAATTTACACCACGTGTTAGCGTCGGTTGAAAATTCATATTTCCACTTGGAAAAACAGTAAGAATTAGTTATGCGTGCTCTAACTACCAAACCAATTAAACTTAACCTAGCTAACTCACCACGTGGTTTCACTCACACCAAACAAACTAAAAGTGACACCTCTAGCGGCTCCAGCAACCAAATCAACTTCTACCAACCCTCTCAACAGAAAATTCCCTAGGAGAGCTACCAACTACCCAAAAAGAACTGAACGTGCACATGGTTGCCTATATTTAACGATTTTCTTAACTGCATTTTTTTTTTCAAATTCAAATTATTCAAATTCGATTTTGCACCATTGTTTTTTTCAGGGCAAAATTCTAATTCAAATTTGGTAACCACAATACTTTCTAGAATATGAAAAAGTAGCTTTTGTTTTCGTTTGTCTATCGTCTGTTGGCGATTTTATAGGAGGGATAAAACTACTGGACTAATTGTTCACCCAACAATTATCTAATGTTAATCATAACAAATTTGATGACTATATTTCAAAATTTTGCCGAGTAAGTCGTATTTAGAATGTGCAAAGTAATATATGTCGTAATATTTGTCGGTTTTTGGAAAAAAAGTCAAAAATTAGTACACAATTTTACAGTTTAACTATTAAAGCTTAAATCTTCTAAAGTTGCCTAAATTGTTCATAAATTAAAACTGTACTGATTTTAAAATCCCTTTGTCACTACTATTTCTGGAGCTCGGACACCGCGGCGTAATTCACAAACGTGCGAATCTTGGGCTGCGAACATGAAGGCCAGGAGTTTACGTTGACGATTATTGTTCTGAAAATTTGTCTTAAAGCTTACCGCCAACCTTGCAATATAATTACAAGGGTGAGGAAAACCAAATATCGCCTATAAACCACCAAATCACTAATAAATAAGTGCCTAGAGCAGTTCGGCGTAACAGGTACCTACAGATTTTCTCCTTTCATGATTTCACATTGCATTATATTTAAAAATAGTGAAAATAAACTAGCAATTTTTAGTATCGTGTTGCTATCCAGTACATGATTCATTCAACCTTAGTCAACATTCAGGTTGGATACTTTTACATCGAAAAAATATAAATAGGTGCAAGTTTTCACGTTAAAAAAATCACCTAATTTTCCATCATTTTTTAACAATCCTTTTCAACGTTCAGCCGCTTTAGTTTCCCTTTTTTGTCATCACGCGACTTTAATTGACGTTCACACGTGATGATGGACACACAAGTACCCAATTTTTCTTTTATATAACTAAACCTGCTGGCTTCTTGACAATAATAACACAGCTGGCCTGATCCCATTTAATTGCAACGTTGACGTGTTTAGATTTAGAAGCCCCAATTTTCACAAAAGTTGACAATATGAGTCATACCGAACACTAATATCTGGATCCACTCCAAAAGTTTCTTAGTTAAGAAACATCACGGTATGATTAAGCGTGGGAGTTCAATTGTAAAGTAATGAGAGTGGAGTGTATTTTTGGTTGCCTACTCAGAACGAAATGTGTAATTACAGTCATTACAGGCATGGCATGAGACAGTCTTATGTGTGTAATCATGAATTTATGAAACAAAGAGCAGTTTAAAAGTTTTTTTTGTTAATAAAAATCCCTTTGATAATATCAAGAGTGACAATAATATCACTCATTTTTGTTAAAATTTTTCCGCTAACTAAAATTTCTTGGCCCAGTCCTTCGCACCATGTACTAATTCATTTATTCACCGGTGTTATTATTAGTGTCTACCTCAACCGTCTCATAGCCTTCCACCAGTGCCAGTTTATCCGCGGAATTTCACCAGATCCACGGTATTTTTTAGTGAGGTAGCACCAAATCCACCCTTCAAAATGGGCTATCTGCTACACGACCTCATCGCCTACAACAATCGGTACGTACACCAAAAAAACAAAGGATTATCGTAACAACTTTCACCGCCATTTTTCAAAATCTAAAGAAACCGGTCGCCATAATTAGGATCATTTACCGGTGCTTTAACAGTAGTCATCTTGCACAAAAACCCGTCTCACACAAACACAGATCGATCTTCGCAATTACGCGAACTTGGCGTGTCGAAGACAAAAAATGGCCTAACTGTGCACGATAATCGCGATAGCGGTGAAGAAAACCGCCAAAACGCAGCGCCATCTGGCGGCCTGACATTCCTCGGCGGAAAAAGTGTAGAGTTTTTGCAGTGTACAGGGAAATTACATTACTCCATCTAATCTCCATTTTCGTTCGAACGTCGAAATCGAGGCATCCCGTATTCGCGTGGCGTCGCTGGCCTTATTACGTCTCCATTTTTGTTTTGGGTAGACACATATTTCGCTTCACTTTCTTCGGATAATTGTTTCCGTTCAATTAAAAAAGTGAAAATCGTGATGACCGTAAACAATTTAACGCTTGGAAAGTTATGATACGATTGATATCGGATCGTGTTCAAGGTCACTGTCAATTAAAACGCCACGTTTCGAAAATTATGACGTTTCTCACGGTTCGCTTTCCAGGTGTTGGCAACCGTGGAACGGGTGAACAATCGCGCGTGGCTTTGATTTCACGACATTTTTTCTTAATTTTGGGTTAAGGTGTGGTTTATTATGGATGAATAGGGTAATTAAAGGCTACCAGATTTAATTACTTCATTAAATTACAGTCTTGAGTTTTCTTGTGGCATAGAAAACAGAATTCAAAAAGGAATACTAGACACAGAATATTGTTTTCTTTGCCAATAATGCTTGTGTCTACAAAGATCACAAAGAGATTTATTTGTCTCAGCATTTGTAATTTGTTCTCTATTCATAAAGTACATAAGTTTAATGATTCTTTGTTATGGAGGGCTTGCACAATGGAACGATTATTGGACAGAACATTATTTGATATATTAAGTAAAAAACTGATTTGACCTTGATGTGGCACAAAATGGCCGTGGTGCCTAAAATTAGCTGAACTAATAAAAAAATACGCCTTTTAGAAAATTTTGTTTTGCGTTTATGTTTACTGGAAGTGTTGCGTTGTGCTGACGTTTTGAATTAAAATAAATACTAAATTACGTGAGCTGTATATAAACAGGACGAAATTTATATCCCATTAGTCCCAGCTTGGCTCGCAACACACACCTGAAAATTACTAGGATTGAAAGCGCAAGTTCGCTTGATATAGGTTTCTAAACTTTAACAGTAACGATCAATCTTAACTGAAAATAAATTGCACACGACTGAGGCATTTGGTTAAATTTCTCTACGTGGAATTCCTACCGTATTTATTAGATGTTTCTGGAGCACCTGTGTAACAAGGGTGACTCGATTGTCTTAACCTAAGCTATGAAAATATTAAAATTTACTTCACACGTGTTCTACTAAAGCACGGTCAATATACAATATATTGTGTAAGATAATAGCTTATTTATATTCATCAGACTTTGATTAGCTATGGGCTTCTGTATCTATAATGATAGATTTTTTATTAGATAAATGCGATTATGATAATTTTATTAGTTTTAATATTTTCATCAACATTAATAGCTTCTAACTGGTTGTCTTTGGAGATGCAGGCCAAGTTTTTTTTTCATTCTAATAAAGCAGTCAAAGTTTGGCAATTAGCTTTCAAACAAGTTTTTATATATTTTTTAAATCATTTTCAATTCAATTTTGACACTGTACTGTGACACTAACTTTAATGACACTTGAACGATTAGTTATGTAAACATGGTTAACAACTAAAGTGTGAGGTTAGAATCTACTAATGAAATGCCATGTTTAAAAAAATTAAAAATGATTGTTCGCAATTTTTAGTAGCACTAAGAAAAGGCAACAGTTCACAGACAACAAAGGAAATTTTATTCTGTGCAGACTGTAAATGTTGATTCGCGTCGACTGAAACATTTGTGGTTTCTCAGAGTAATGATGTGAAAGAGTTATTACAATCATAATTACATGCGTTTTAGAGCCGTTTCAGACAATATCAATCAAGGTTCTCTAGCGGTAATAAATACTAAATAAAGAAAACTAAAATGAAACATGAATTTTTTGATGCCTCAACATCGTATTGTTATTTTCCTATGAAGAAGTATTATGTATTTTTTGCTAAAATTTACAAAATTTGAA